GTTTATAAGGGCTTAGCATCTCTCTTAACAAGCGGTTTTCTAATCAAACTATTGTGAAAGATTTACGTGAACATTACTCAATTTGATGTTAATACAAATCAAATGACTATGAACATTGCTTTAGCCGCGACACCTAATGTCGGCGACTTAGGGTCAATTTTGAAAGGAAGACCAACAAAAAATTTAAAAAATTTACTATTGAAAGATGAATGCACTTGCACACTTGCATTCCTTTCTATTTCATCTGCAAGATTTGCATCCAATTTCCAAGAGAAGGAAAAGAAAAAACAGTGCAAAAATTTATTAAAAACTAAAAGTTGAAGGCTGTTATGAATCTGTAATGGATTAAACTCTTGTTTTTAGTCTTCATTTCCTCTCATCTTTTTCTTGTTTCCTTGGCACAAGAAGGGAAAAAATTCCATCAAAAGTACACCTTTTACTGCAGAAAATTTGGAACTGTCAACTTCCCCTTCACCAATCTAACACATCCTGATTGCGGTTCGCTGAAAATATATGACTGCGACAAACCTGTTCAAAAGATTCAACTGGGAAAGAAAGGGCCATGGTTTTCATTGCAGGCGGTTTCAGGATAATTCTCTCGGGCTACGAGATCCGGAGTTCAAAGTGATAGATAAACAACCTGAGCTGCGAATCCTTCAGGAATTTAGCTTCCATTTCTCCTTCCCTCACTTTTGAACTTCCCTACAATCAAATCATGTTGAAGTGTCCCAGCACTCAAATTTACCCAGCAAATTATAGCTTGTCTTGCACTGATTCCAAGACTATGTCATTTTTCAATCACAAAAATGGTAATTTATCAAGTCCCCCAGCTCAGTGTTCACCTGTTCATTTTCTGGTGAAGAAGATCCGGAAACTGTCAATTTTCTCAATTTATTCACTGGTCGTTCGGATCTGAGTGAGTAACACAAGAATGTTACCAGTGTCACTGAGAGGAGCAAATGTCAAACAGATGGCAAAGGAAAATTCATTGTTCAAACTCAAGAACAGGTATAAAAATTTAGCTTCAGATAGGCAGATCGGTTTTTATTTTCTCAGAAATTTGGAGTATGACAAATTGGTCACATGACTTCATCCTAACACCATTTTATTTGTACTGTTTAGGAGATGCAAAATTGGGATGAAGCTGGGCATAGGTAATTTTACCATTCTATCATTAATTTTTTTGTAGTGTAATTTAATTGTCTTATTTACTAATCACCTTCTGCAACTTATACATAACTTGTAATAAGTGGTGAAGTCATCAGTTTCAATTCCTGTTGGTCTGTTGATTGCAGCCATATCAGCAGGTGGAATTGGCATATTGATTATTCTAGCTTTTGCTTCCGGAAAATATTGCAGAGGAATTGTTCCATCGTTCTGGAAGAAAAAAAATAAGAATTATCAAACATTGAGGTCTTTTTGAAAGACTATGGATCCCTTGCCCCTAAAAGATACACTTACTTGGATATCAAGAAAATGACTAATTTTCAAGATAAACTTGGCGAAGGAGGCTTAGGAGGTGTTTACAAAGGCAGCTCTTGACGGTCGCTACGTAGCAGTGAAGGTCTTGAATGAATCTAAAGGTAATGGTGAAGAATTTATCAATGAGGTGGCTACCATTAGTGAACCTCCCATGTAAACGTAGTCACTCTTTAGGCTTTTGTTTTGACGGTTGTAGAAGAGCTCTTCTCTATGAATTGTACCCAATGATCTCTTGAAAAGTTCATATATGAGAAAAAATCATCAAGACAAATCATCAATTGAAGTGGGAAACATTGTATCAAATTGCAGTAGGCATAGCACGTGGATTGGAGTACTTACATCGTGGCTGTAACACTCGAATTTTACACTTCGACATAAAGCCCATAAATTCTCCTAGATAAAGACTTTTGTCCAAAATTTCTGATTTTGGTCTTGCTAAAATTTGTCCCAAAAAAGAGAGTAACATACAATGACAGGTGCACGAGGAACTGTTGGATATATACTCCAGAATTATTTTGTAGAAACTTGGGAGAAGTATCCACAAGTCAGATGTTTATAGCATGGAATGATGGTTTTAGAAATGGTTGGAGGAAGAAAGAATATGAAGTTGCAGTGATCATGAAAGTGAAATATATTTTCCACACTTGATTTACAACCGTTTGAAATAGATGAACTTGGCGCAAGGCATTACAAGGGAAGATGATCAAGAATGTGCAAGGAAGATGATAATTGTGAGCTTGTGGTGCATACAAACTAACCCTTTAGACAGGACACCAATGGGCAGAGTTGTGGACATGCTGGAAGGGAGCCTTGGCTGCTTGCAAATCCCTCCAAGCCTTTCTTATCTTCTCCAAGATCAAGACCAGATTCTTCAACACCTTTATTCAACCATGATGAATCTAAATGAAGATTCCCCACCAAGAAAAATGACTTCATAAATGTCAAATTTTCTTCACTGAAGATTTATACAAAAATAATAAGTGATGATGCCTTAAATTTCATTTGCTTGTCATAGCTTAAGCTTTGAGTGGTGCATTTTGCATAAACCATGTATTTTTTCAGTTGAGCAGTGTTTTAATAACCAACCAGGGTGAAACTCGGCAAAGTTGCCGGTCGGGTTGACCGGTTTGACCGGGTGGCCAAAAGTTTAAAATTCACAAATACACATCAAAAAATCACTTAACTCCCTACAAGTTTGAAATTTAGCAAACACACCCCAAATACAAATCAGCAGTTGCCTGGTTGGCGACGACGAAACACCAAATGCAATCTCAATCATCCCTTGAGCTATTCCCCGGAAATATACCCAAGATCTGATCGAAATCGGTTCGTTTCACAAACTCTCCACCGCTGGTGTCAACAACCCAAGTTAGATCTCACACCGCCGGCGTCAACAACACTCCCTACCACGAAAATACTCCATAAACTCCTGACCAAAACTCATCTCACCCCATCCTGTTCACCTCGCTAATCCACGCTGTTGCCGCAACAAGTTTTTTGGATTTTCGGTCGATTCACTCACAGAAAATCACCTGTCGCCACCATTTCACTCACCGAAAATCACACTCTATCGCCACCATTGCACTCACTGACCTTCCTCTTCAAAAACCCAACATCTGACCTTAATGTTCGCCGATCATTATCCTAATTTATAGGATTTTTTAGAATAAGAAAATGAGAAAGTTGCTTTACAAAGATGCATACAAAAAAGGCATACAAAGACAAATCCTACCCAATCTTTATGATTGTCTTTCTCTCTCTCTTTTTCCTTCTTTAAATTTATCTTTGTATGCATCTTTATAAGTGTAGCATTCCTCTAAGAAAATTGCTAACATGACCCAATGAAGGCCCCGGGTCCCGATCGGTTTTAAAACATTGCAACCGAGCTATAATTAAATGGCACTGATCAACCAAGACCTAGAATCAATATAATACTCTAGACTGGTCAAAGCATTCATAAGTTCTAGCAGACCGAACTCTGGATTTCAAGAGCATCCGAAAAATCAATGTGCATGCTCCTCAATTAACTCTTCTTTAAACGCAAAGCTTATTTACATTATTTTTAATTTTACAATATACATATACAATTGATGTAGCACTTTAGTAAGATTCAATAAATTGACTAGCCTATGGGGATTGGGGTACAAAAAAATAATGCAGGGAGAAAGAATAAGGAGTCATTGATGAAATTATGCCACTTTAACTCCACTTGGGCGTTTTTCCATGGCATCCTTCTTATTACGACAATCAGCGCAAAGAAAAGGTCCTTGCCAGGGTTTTGAGCTGGTGGAGAAGATGGAACCAGCATGGACTGAGATGCCCTCACGGTGCAAGGTCAACTGGCATACAGCGCAGGTGAAAAGACCAGATGTTATTGTGTGGTAGGTTCATCATTTCCCAGTCTGCAAGATGCATAAAAGGAAATGACTTCGATGCAGATAGACATATATGAGAAAAAAGATGTCACAAAATAGAGATTGGGTGACAGCAATGGAGCATTGGAAAATTTTAGATAAGGCAATGAAAGATAGTTGTCTAGCCGCATATTAGTTCCAAAGCACAGATAAATTAGCTACATGTAACACTCTCTTTCAGAATAAGTTTTCGTTGATTTTTGAGCTTCTGTACAGATACAGGCCCAAGTTCCACTCTTTTAAGAAGCAATTGATGAATGCACAAAATTCAAGAATGGCCATCATGTAAAGTAAAGCAGTCTTGTTCTCTCAATCATCCATATTTCCACTTTTAAAGTATGTACTTAGAACATACCATGTGCACCCACCTTCAATGACTAAGAATCCAGTGATATTAATGCCAGTAAGATAAATTTAAAACTAATGTCTTCTATAGTTGTTGCAATAACCTATTATCAATCCAGATATGACAAATTAAGCACAAATAACATGTTTAAAATTTTCCATGTTCAAAATGAGGTCCAAAGCATGACTTTAGTAGGAAATCGGTCTTATCTAGTGTTTTTCTTTCCCGTCTCTCATCATTTCCAATTGTATACCTAAGCTAAATACCCCTAATTTAAATTTATACTATGCAACTTTTATGAGAAGGAAGAACCACAGATGGGAACTAGATTAGGAAATCAATGCATAATCATGAGCCTCCCCAATCAATCACAAAAAAAAACTCAGAAAAGCAGAGGAACTACCAACCTTTCAGCCAGCATTGCTGACCCTTCTTCAAACAGTTCTTCAACAATTCCTACAGCTGAAAGTCTTAGATAGTTTATTTGCCCAATCATGGGACTTCTTCCTAAATAGCAGTGCCCTAAACCTGTTTGCTTTTTGGGTGGAGGCGAGGGCGGTAGTGAATGTAGGAGGAATTATGTCGACAACTATGAGTTGTGTCATCTTTTAGTCCCCTTGTCTTAAGGCTTCCTGAACAATGATTGATCAAATGCAATAAGAAACTGGGTTGAAAATTCGTTAAAACAAAAGTTAAGCACCCAACCTAACTACAGGGCTGGCACTGCAAAATATTAAAGCATCAAATTCTCAAATCACCTTCACAACTTGTCTAGCAGCAAGTTCAGCTGGCAATCCACGGCAAGATTGTGCAGCCATTTCTGAGGATAGGGCATCCCAGATTCCATCAGAGGCAATAATGAGCCTCCCACCTGCATTTGATAGCTTTTATACGAATGAAGAATGTTAGAGTTCATGCTGAAGACTGGTATAGTATTTTCAATCTTAAATGCCGAGGAATCATAGACAAAGATGCACAGAACAGAGAACTAAGAAAAGAATCAATACTTCACAAGTAAACAACATAAATAGAATATAAAAGATGGATACCTTCACTTGTTTGACATATGGTATTGGTACAATAAACTCTCCAACATCCATATCTCCAATTGACCTAGAAAGACACAGACCACCAGGCCAGCAACGGAGTGGACCAATCTGTACAGGTTAAGCAAATCTTAGAACACCGTAAAGGATAATAGTAAAAGAGAGACAAAAGAAATCATGTTGTTTAACGTTAATGAAACTTTGGTAAATGAGTAATATAAGAAAGCACCTCACCTCAGCACCACCAACAATGCTAAGCCTCCCAACTTCACCTCCACTTGCAGTTACACGTTCTCTCCTGCACTCACAGAATAACCAATTATTATTCCCATGCAGATTAAGGGAAGAAACAAAGCTTTGAGATAGACACGCACTCTTCCACATTCTCTTCAAGTCTATGGTCAACAGTTAAGGTGGAAACAGCACCACCTTGAGCATCTAATATACAACGAGAGTCTCCTACAGATGCAACCGTCACAGTCCATCTGTCAACTATGACAAACGTTGCTGTGGTTCCAGATGTTTCTCCTGAAGATGATTAAACAAGTATAGAGAGCATTAGTTAGTTTTCCTTAATCTCATGAAAAGGTAGTTCAAATATAGATAACAAAAGATAGCAAAGAACAGAAACAAGAAAAAGGGCCAATTCCATGCCTCTGCTCTGAAATTCCTTGTCTGTCTTCACAAATCCAGCAACCAATGCCCGAGGTAAAGCCTGAAGCCACTCATCCCGCCCAAGTCCACGGGGAATAGCACCCAACACATGATTCAACAAATGCTCCCTCGTATAAATTGCTGCAGCATTCCCATTGTGCCCATCAAAGATCTGAAATTTTGCATTAAACAGTAAATCATACAGAACAATAAAGATAAATACAGCTGAAGAAGATCAAATGAAGGATGAAACCTAAAACTTTACATCCTCACAAAATGATGCACGTCTAAGAGATCAATAAATCTAAATTCAACAAGCTAGACAATCGCCTCTGATTTGTAAGGTCTATTCTCATAGATTGAGTGAAGGTAAGCTTGAAAGATGACAGAAAATTTATGACCCTAGGCATCAACAAAACAAGATAATCTTCTTTTCCCACCAAACGTAATTAATCTAGTAGAATAAAGTGTCCCACAACAATCCATAATCTGATCTAAATGGTAGACGCATGAAGTTAAGTTTCAAAATATTAGTCACTAAGACATGGCAGTCAATACACAAAAACTAAGATCTACACAAAAAGGGGACAAGAGTTACCGCAAATACGGAGAAAGTAGATGAAGAATTCCCAGGTACTCTTTGGCAATCTGTCTTAATCAAGAAATAATCCTCTCCTTTCCTAGACTGAGCCGCATGCCCATATCTAACAGTCGGCTTCTCCATCTTCTCACTCTTCATCTCTCTGCTGATCAGAGCAGCAAGAGGCACAAGATCATGGTGGTGGTGATGACGCCTCCCTTCTCTAGATGCCATATCTACCACTTTAATGTCTTTGGCTGCAGCCCAAGACCTCAAATTCACCAAACCCTTGGCCTCACAAGCATATTATTTCTCAACACCTCAGCAACTTGAGATCAAACTCAGTCCTACTCAATCAAAATGCAAAGTCTTTCTACTAAAAAATCTGCTCAAAAATTCGTAAACTTGATCCAAAACTTCAAAGTAAAACACAATCACTTCCCAAAATCAACCCTAAATGAAGTTCCCAACTTGATCTGCATCATCAGCCACAAACCAGAAACAAATGTAAGCCTTACCCAGATAACAAAACAAATCATACTATTAGAACAAAGCAATTTCACAACTTCACTTGGAACAACAAATCAGTTAACATAAACCACCACATTCCTCTGATATTTGTAAACTAAAATCTGCATCAAACAAAATACTTACAACTGTACAAGCAAGAACAACTAAAGATTCCAACTAGAAACAAGAAATTTATGAAGTTTCAAACTTTTTTCCACAGTCTTTTCCTTATTTTTCCCCACAAGCAAAACAGAACAAACTTCCAATAGACAAGAAGACAGAACAGGAAACGTAAGTTACCAACGAGAATGTCAGAGTGGCGTCTGGACCAAAGCCAAAATGCAGATCTGCTAACAACAACAACAAAAACAGCAGTATCCACGTTGCAGCTAAAAAAAAAGAGAGAAGAAGTAGAAGTATCAACACGGAAACGCAACGCGTTTTGGTGACAAGATATGAACTGTAAAACCCATTAACTTAAAAGAAAAATACCATATCTTTCGTGGATTTATATATTATAAAATAAAATGGAAGAAACCCAGTTCACAGAATAAACAAAGATTGAATCTTTGCCCATAAAAAAAATTGATTTTTTTGAAGAGAAAGGAAATCCCAGAAAGAAATGTTTGGTTGCTTCAAAAGACAGCTCTTTTTTTTAAAAAAAAAAAAATTTTGTTGAATTTTTTTCGGTTTTGGTCTTGGTTATGCGTTGTTTGGACAATGAAAGGGCAGTCTAAAAGTAAAGTTTTGCTGACAGTATAAAGTGATCTGGCAACAAACCCACATTCTATTTCTGATTTTCTGTTAAAGTTATTTTTGTTTTTTATGTTTTCATAAAATTTAAAAAAAAATGCAAAAAAGAAAAACCTATAAAATGATGTGTAAAAGTTAAAATCAAGTGCATGTAATGTATATTTTACACTTCAATATTCATCAGAAATATTATTGAATTAACATCGTTATTCTAAAAAGAATATTTGAAAAAAAAAATTTTAATCTATTATTGGTATGTAATCTAAGTGGTAAAAAATATTTTTGTAAGGTTTTTATTAAAAATATATATATAATTCCCACATGATTATTACATGAAAGTAAGTGTAAATATGTTATATGATTGTGAAATTAAAAAGTTATTGTAGCATGTGTGACAAATTGATAATCATCAAATTTATATTAGTTAATAATATAATTAAAATAAACTTCAATGATTAATAATATCATGTGAAAATTATTGTACATAAAAAAATATTAAGATGATTGCTTCAAAGATAGAAACTTCATAGCTAGGATCATTATTCATTGCACCTTATTTTTTTTTTTATAAAATAAGATGTCAAAAAAAAAAATCAATGATTGAATTAACATATTTTAAATGACTAAGATTATATTTAATAAATTAATATGATGCTTATAAATTAAAAAATTAATTAAACCCCTATGGATTCCTTCAAAGAGAGGAAAGAAGGTGGAGTTCATTATAGGTTTTATAATTATAAATATTATAATATTCATTCATATAAGATAATGCTTAATTATGATATTATAATAAAATTAATAATATGATTTTATTTTACTTTTATATGTCATATAATTAAGCTAGTTTTATAATATTAACTATTTGGGTAAATGATTTATAGTGTTGAGATAATCTTTCTTACACCAGAGATACATTATAACCAATCAATCATAAGACGAGTATATCTTAAATACTTTGATATAATACTATATGATTGGTTAATTGTATGTACATATGCTAAAAAAACATATATATTTCATAATATTATCTTATTTTTTCTTCTTTCGAGTTGGGATTAATTAATTACCTTATTGAGGTCATGAAACTGCTACATAAGATTTGTTATAATTATAATAGTATGATTGTCGAGAAAGTTTCGACCATGAATCCTGAATCTAAAGTTAAGCTAATTGAACTACATCATCAAGTCAATCTCATAAATATCATCTTCTTTCTCCGTTTAACAATAAGGATAAATCATCTCATTTATCATTCATAATCTTAAAATCAATTATCTAACAATATGAGTAGTGATACATGCATAAACTAATGTATCATAACTCTTTTATTATCACGTCATTTATCTATATTAATTAACATTTATTGAATTGCTTTTGTATACAAATTCATCCATTCACTTTGTAATACCTCAGCCCACAACTGACCCAACATTATCAAGATATTATTCGCTTTTAATAACTTGGGTGGCTTGACTTTCAAACTCAATCCCTCACGAATTTGTTTTCAGGCCTAAAAACCTTTGTTGAAGCCTAAAATACATTTTGATATTTGGTAGATTCTTTTAATATTTGACCAGCTCAGACCCTTCATTCCCAAACGATGTAAGATGTCTCACATTTTGTACCACATCAATAAATATGAAAGAATTATATATCCAATATTATTCTTGACGACGTTAGTCAAAGTATAACATTACAGAAAGATTAATTCCATGCACTCGTCCATCTCCCACAACATCGTGTACAACAACAAGAACAACAAAAAATATCAAATTTCACTCAAGAATTTTTCCAAAGTTTTGAAGCAAAATTATTGGGGAGAGAGTGAAGGAGTGAGAGTGGTTGTGGACGTGGACGTGGAAGCGGACGTGGAGATGGGAAAAAAAGCTGACACGTGAGTAAAGGGTGTGCATGTGTTTCTGTGATGGCAATGATGTGTATAGCATGTGTACGCTTGTCTGATTCGGCTCTGTTTTGATCATAATTTTGTACGGTGATTATTTTATATCTTTTATTTAGGTGGTCCTACTGGTCCCCACGTGTTATTCTTGTGGGACCACACTACCCCAACTACACCTTACCACACAGGATTATATTTAAGGTTTGGATTTTGTTAAGAGGTCAATTCTACCTAGTTTGTTTGAGTAATTAGGTGATTAGTTGGAAAGGATTAAACTAGATATTGGTTCAAAGGCTAATCATCTAACTAATATGATTGAATTAAGTATGGGGGTAACATTACCGTCAACGATGACCTTTCGATTTTGGCCTACAAGCTCTCAACCAAATCTGGGACGAACATTAGAATGTATTCATTCAAATTAATTAATGTTATCTCCGTATTATTGTGTTATTTATAATTATTGGTTATAAGGTTAATTATGTAACTCATTAGAAAGAATTACGAATAACAAATAACATTGATTTTAGGTTGTGATCTTAAGTATCAATGTAAGGGGTTTTAGTTAAACCTCGAACAAAGTTCTAAATGTGCTCATTTTAGATAATGTTACTTCTATATAGTAATTGTTACACATAATTAATTATTGTAGCACGAATATTAGAATAATTTTTAATTTGTTTTTGAAAATTTCTCATATATGTAAATCTCAAGGGGTTGGTTTGACGGTTAAAGAGATTTGCTCCCTTCATTGATCTCTTCGATTCGAACCTTGGACCGCCTACTATGTTGTGACTTACCGGACTTATAAAATATTCAATAGATCTTAAAAATTGGTTGATATACGTGCAAATTGGCATTAACATTGAAAAAAAAAAATCATATAATAAAAAATTCAACAGAAATCAAATGTAATCGTATGTACTTTTTTAAAATATGAATATCAGCGGTACAAGTCAGACTAATAAGTGACTGACTCCTTAGTAATATTAGTAAAGTAATAAATTCATGGCAACTACTACTTATCTACTTGGACAATAGAGATAAAATGTTTTCATTATAGAAATGAAACCATTTCACCTGCTTTCTGAAAATCGATGAATTTAATATTTTATGGAGCGACTAAAAACCTAAGGAGTAGGTTACTTTCACAAATTCTGTTCCCTGGTAAAGCTGCATTTCTCATTAAATATATTAACCCCATTTGAATTCTCTGGGTTCAGTGTCGCAAGTGCATGAATGTGCATTCATGCGAAGTCAAGAACTCAAAAATGAAAAAAAAATTTAAATGCTAAGAATATATATATATAATCTCTTACAAGATTATGCCAATAATTTGGCATCCAATTATTCGAGCATGATATCAAGTTCATTGTAGGATTTTCATTACTGTTTTACAGGGGATCCTCCATAATCGAAAATGAATTAAATGCCTCTTGGTTCGGGTTAAATGCTTGCCAACTATTAAAAGGATTAACCTATTAGTTGATTTAATCTACCCGTTCTTGTAATCTTAAGACTAACTTATGTTTATTTTGGTTCATCCTAACTGAAATTTTTTGATCTATCCCTACTTTTCACTGTACTCAACATTGGAAATAAATTCCTGTTTACGACCCTATAAATAAACCCTTGTGTTGAGAGCACAAAACTGTATTTGTGGGCGCCATTAAGGTAGCAAAATGGGGATATTTTTTCAAGCAGCATTTAATCAGTCTAAGCTTGGGACAGTTAAATAATGAAATGCAGAATGCAGAAAATTGAAGAATTGTGGTTGGAAACAAGTAATGTGGTTGGGGAGATAATATTAATTCAGCTTTTGAATGAAATTGACTTAAGCTTGTTCTCCAAAAACACCTCAGGATTTGTGTTATTATATCTTACAAGACAATTGTTTATTCCTGTGGCCCATATTAGTTTAAACATCACTAATACTTTATTAAATTGCCTACCAACTATAGGATTTAAAATGGGAGAAATGTAGTTTTCAAAGCTTAATCTTGTAACTTAATATTCTAATACAATCTATATGTCGTTTAACTTTTCCTATCTTATGATGTTGAGAGATGAGTTAAAAATTTAAGTTATAATATGGTGAACTTATATTTAACAACCATTTTTTTATAATAATGTTTTGTTTATAATCGAATTATACAATTAAATAAAAATTATACAAAATTTATATAAAATAATTATTTTATCTTGTAAATATAACATTACTCTGTTTTTTTAACCGTAAAATTTATATAAAATAATTATTTTATTTAAGTTGTATATGAATTTCTAGATACCATTTTATGAAAATAGTTGAGGCATAATTGTACTGGAAAATCTAACCAAAAAATGTCTCAATCAAACTTTTCCCTGTCGGATTTTGGGGCATGTTTGTTTTCAAGATATTTTATATCAAGATATTTAAGAGTTGTTTGGTTTGATCACGTAAGACTAATAATCAAATTATTTACAAAATTAAAATAATTTCGTTATATTTTATCAAATTCATTATTTGTAATACAAATTATAAATATATATCGTAATATTGAAAAGATATTTATATAAGGATACTAGTTTCCAGATATTTAAAATTTTTAAAAACCCGTAATACTTATAGATTGTTGGAATATTATGGTTCGATTTTCTATTTGTTCTCATATAAACTTGTATGTTTTTAAGAAAACTATTTAATGAAGAATATAAAGAATAGAATTATGAGAGTTATATTATGAATTGAAATATGAATCCTATTAGAAATAGAATGTCTCATATCATAACTATGTCTCATATCATAACTATAAATATAGGGATGAGAACTAATTCAAAGTTATAAGAGAATGCGAGAACACATAATATTTGGTGTACGGTTATTAAACACCGTAGGTAGAGTGTTGCTCTAAGTATTGGGTTGAGCATAGTTAGAAACTAAGGTGTGTTTGTTTCGCAATTTTTACCCTATCCTATTTCTATCTTATCCAAAATACACATTTGTTTTCCTATTCTGAAAATATTATTCTATTTTATTAAATTATTTTTAAATCCCCTAGGTTTGTTAAT